ATTATATGTGATACCTAAGTAGTTAATACTTTTCAAAGCTAAATTAATCTCAAAATTTCTTCTAGAAAGTTTATATACATGTACTTTTATCTACAAAATATTTGAACAGCTGCCACTGCAAAAGTACTGAATCTCAAGTGTGATGATATACTGAAGCCACAATATGAACCTCCTTTTTTTCGTATGCTTCTTTGGATGCCTGAAATAACAAGACCAACAATAACAAAGACTCGTCTTTTTCAATACATTTTTCACAACATTGCGAGAAGATCATTAAAAAATTCTCTTTCTTTTAAAAGGCTGGCAAGTTTTCAAGTCATCCAATGTAAAAGTCATGTTTATAATTCAATTTTCTATCGTTCGTCTCGATTTAAAGAAATGCCTTTTCAATACTTTTTAGTACATAATTAAGCTACTTGAAGGGAACAAAACATATTTATTTTAAGATTGATTCCCCTTCAATTATGTTATACTTTACATTCAAGTTTTCAGTTATTTTGACAAGGCACTTGCCAATGTTTTATTTATTGAACACAAATAAACGAAAACCACTCTTTATGTCTCGGAAGATGTTGTTTATTATAGTATATTCGCACTGAATGTTATTTTACAACTTTCTTTTTGTTTATTCATGTCATTAAACTAAAGAACGTTTTAAAATAAGAAAAAGATTGGTTTCATAGATAAAGTTTTGTTTTTCATTTCAAATAAAAATAAGATAAAAACATGAAAAACAGTATCACATAGGGTCAAGAAGGGGGAGATTTGCCAAGACTTAATTTTAGAGGATATTTATTTCTCTTAAAATGGGTGTGAAGTTAACTTCTCAAATGAGTGCTTAAGAATCGCTATAATGTACTTCAATAAAATGATATTGATGTCGTTACCTATAAAAATATGTTTCTAATATTGTCTGTTTTGTTGTAGATCGTATATCTGGTTTGTCACTTGGGAGTTATTGTTAAGAAAATCACATTTCTATGTCAAGTTCTCTGTTACTTTATTGCTTCAGAAATAATTCTGGAGAGAAATCTCAGTTAAGACAAACAATACAAATAGCCGCCTCTGCTATTTAACCTTTAGTGTCTTTGATTCTAAATGTTACATATATAATATAGTTTTTGAGTGTGACTAAAAATGTGTTTGAGTAACACACCAAATACAGTATTCCGTCAAGGCGCTTGAATGATGAATTGCTAAAATCTCGCCTTTTCACCCACCGATAGTACATTTAGACGTCAAAGTCATATCTTCACGCCAATTCATAGTGAATGAATGAAAAATGTAAGAATCGGTATAAAAGCGATATTTTTTCTCTTCTTTTTGTGATAATGATTTCTGAAATCGTCTAGTGCTGCTGCTCAAACACTGTAGTGAGTTATAGTTTATGATCATTCATATAATAAAAAGATTGAATACTACGTAAGTTGATATTACTTTTTTATTTTATCTGGTATCTTATAGTTAGTGTTTGACTTTTTCATGGTTGTAAAAGGGGTCTAGGGGCGGTGTTGGGTGGGGTGACCAAACACTGATACCGCCACATGTGATCTTAGCGTTTATCATTCTCTTTTTTTATGCTTGTGACGTTTTTTTAAACATTTGATTGAACAAAACACACGTGTAACAAGTTTTTTTGTTGGAAATGAGTTGCTGGTTTAGCATAAATTTTCAATCAGATTATGTATATACTTCTTCTTCTTTTTCAAAACAAAAATAAATAAATGAATAAAACATATATAGATAAATAAATAAATAAATAAATTAATTAATTAATTAATTAATCAATTCAAATATTGTCTTTTGTACTTTGGTGATGAGGTACAACTTAATTTATTTATAGTTAACAGAACTGTCTCTCTGTGTTGTAATGTTTTGAACTTGACAGCAATGATTGAAATAACAGTTTTTACGGTTAAGGTCGTTGAAAGCTCACTATGCTTGAACTTATTGAAAAGCTGCCCTAAATTACTTTTCTTATGATCGAACAATTTATCAACAATTAAAATTATTGAAGTACAATACATTTAATAGCACTAAACTAGACAAATGACTGATTACACTCTTTCTTCAGTTTTATGTTCGAATATAGGGAAATAGAGAGAAATAAAGAATCCCTAAAGAACGCACAAAACGACAAAATTGAAAATATTGCAGGCGCGGATTGATCGAGCCTGTTCAAAGTCTTGATAGACAATTGAAATGTTGGTTGCTGTCATCTTATCGTTTGCTGTTAGTATTGTTAGAAATTGTGACCTAGGGCAATTTTATGTCGTTTATCGAATGACTGACCATGAGGAATATTGTGTCAGACAGGGCTATTATAGACTGACCAATTAAATGATTAGGAAGCAACCACATGAAAATGTATGGGGCAAAAACTTGATTATATTCTGAATAATTGATCAGAATTTAGAAGAATTTATATATCAATAAATAAACTGTTATTTGTATTTGTTCCTTTTGAATATATACTAAAATAAATGAAATAATAATAGTCTCGCAAAGATTATGCGCAAAATTGAATGGATAATACAGTATGTATCAGGGATTGTGCAAAAATAATGTAGCTTGTCTATGAGCAAACTTATAAGCAATGTTACTATATCATTGATTCCAACACTTTTAAGTATTGAAACTTGTGTACCGCTCAAGCAGATGCTAGGGGGCGCGAGTGAGATGTTTCACTTTTTTATCATCCCTCATGTACAGGCTCAAACCGAGTCTGCAATTTTCATGTATTTTTGGTGTGATGAATGCTTCCGAGGGATACCGATACATACTGAACGACATTTATAGAAATGTCCGTAGGTCACATGGATTAATGATTTTGTTTTCATAGTAAAATAGAACGCAATTATTGAAAAATGTTAAGACCTGTTTACTTACTACGATTGCATAGGCATTACGCCACTTTAACGTTTTTGATACCTTTTATAGACAATTGATATAATGGCAGTATTGTGTTGACGTTTGATGTACTTTCTGTCAAATAAAAGAATTCTTCAAACAAATCGACCTTTAATCTCTCTTGTTTAAGTAGACAAATCAAATGTTAACTTTTTATAACGCTAATGGTAGATGTCAGCAGTAAATTGTTTCCTGCAAAGATAATGAGAGTAATTTACAACGCCGCGTAAGTAATTCAAACGGATTATCCGTATACTGTTACAGCTCTATGAAAATAAAGAAAAACATAAACAAAACAATCAGAAGATGTATCTGCTGGTATATTCTAGAAAAGGTCAGCTTAAAAAATCAAATGTTTTCGTCATGTTTGCTTGTCTGTGATTTATTTTTTGTTTCTTTAAGTTTTAAGTCCATTCTTGCTCTGAAAAAAGTGTGACATTTACGAAATATTTATCATGCATAGAACAAAAATAGTTACAGATATAATCATATACCTTAGCTATAAATATAAAGCACATTAATTTCTACAAAAAACAAAACAACATTATAACAAACAAACAAAATGCTTTTGTACCATATAAAACTTAAACATAAAAACATGGCGCACAGAAGGATACTTACAAACACTTAAACAAGAAAATAAAAGAACAAAACAAAAAAAAACCCAAACAAAACCAAAAAAAAAAAAAAACACGCACACACAGTAATTAGCAACAATGCCAAGCGTCAAATATTCACCCACAATGAATATCTAATTGTTCCACATGAAATATTTCTCTGCAGGCTCAAAAATTCAACGTCTGTCTTTTTGTTATGTCAAAGTCTTAGATATTATCACATACTCTTTATTCAAATATTATAGCATTACTATTTTATGTTTCTTACAGTATTTAAGCAGCAGGCCTCCAGATTGAAAAAAATTGAAAATGTGTTTAAAAAGTAATATTGTCAAAAAACCAAAAGGAAGCAATTTACACATTATCAATGCTACTAACAACCCATGTAAATTACCAAAAACAGTTAAAATGTGCTAAAATAGCCCTTACTGTGTAACTTACGAAGTAAAAATATAGTAAGAAAAACTATATATCAGTAACTAAATGCACAAAATATGTAAATAATTACTTGAATCTGGAATATTTTTACTTTTCCTAAAATCTAAGTACATCTTTCTCAACCTTGATTTTATTGTAACATTTAGGCTCAAAGGGAGGCATGTAGCTTTAAGTTAGATCAAGTCGATAATTTTACAATGTATTTACTTTATTTTCTTTATATACTCGTTACAGATTCCGTCTTTACAGACATGTGAGAGTTCTTCACGAAACCAAGGTTAATGAATGTGCATGAAACCAAGGTTAATGAATGTGCATGATATAGAAACAAACGACAATAAACTATAAGACATATACATTTTTACGTTAATATGTTCATGGCAACTTACATTACTTTTATAGACAGCTAGTGTTTCAAAAGAAATTAACAAGTTCATTTATCTATGTTCTTTCTGACTTCGGATGTAACTATCTAAAATTTTAAATTATGTTCACACACACACTATTTTTGGTCAGACTAAGTTGTTCAATAAATCATCAAAATTACACAAACCTGTACAAATTAGACAAGTACGTTCACTCAGAAGAACCCTATTTGATACAATTTGGTCAACAGACATTTGACATACCAGTACATTATTTATAACATTACAATGTACATCAAAGGTTAAATAACTTCAAGTCTTATGATCTTAACTATATTATCGTAACATTTCTTTTTCTCTATGAAATAATTTGATCGCAGCAAATATTTGCGGACGAAAATGTTTATCATTATAATCTATGCTACAAATCAAAAATGGTTTACATGTATGTTAAAAGAAACTATTATGAAAATTTAAGTGATTATATTGTCCGTGCTCTGCCTTGCGCTCTGTTCTGTTTTTGTTTGTGGTCCTCCTGAGCTCTTTGCCGCTGGCTCTTGTTGCAAGGTCGTGTGGTGGTTGCGTTCATTGAACGCCGCCTTTCTTGTGGATCGTGTCTATCATATTTTATTGGTTACATAAATACAAAAATGTTATATATCTTTTGTAGGCTTACTCTCTGTTTTGAATGACAAGCCCCTGTGAGCTGCTCCACTGAAGTTCAAAAGCCTAAAATGTGAAAAGTTTACACTCTTACATACATCAACGTAAGAAGTTGAAATATCTTTAAATTGTCTTTATTATATCGAAATCATTTATTGAAACATTTTTAAAATAGGGAAATGTTCATCTATAAATAATAGTCTCATGTAAAACATTTGATATGTTTTCCAATATTAGTTTGTCCTTTTCTTTTTTATATAAAAAGGTTTACAATTTTGTGTAGGTAATTTATAAAGAGTAAAAAGAAAAAGTTATTGAAATTGTTTTAAAAGTGTAACCATGTTTTTCTACCAATATTAGACAAATGAACATTATAACCTCATACATATAGTATTATATCCGTTTTTGTCTCATTTGGAAATATAAACCTTGTACTAAAGAAGGTGAACTTAAATTCCATATCTTGAAAATATTTTACGGTAAAAAAAGAACAATAACGATCGTAATATTTAAGGCGTTTACTTGAATAAATTCGGTTGCGATGAATATTTACACAACTAAGAAGTAATCTGAAATTTAGTATTAATTTGAAAACGTTAGCGTCAAAAATGTAACAGAAAATACTTACAAAACCTCTCCGTCAGATGTAGACAATGTCATTAATAATAGAAAAAGCCCGAAGCGTAACAAATGACACGCACTAAATTTGTATAATCAATTGCAAAATAGTGTAACTCTTTGCGTGATTCATGTTCAAATCATACAGCTATCTTATTCAAGATGACATTACATCCCCCGAGATGTTCAATCAGATACTTAAGGAAACAAATAAACTGAATTTGCTTGTAGACTTTTGTTTAATATTTGCAATGATGTCATGTAGTATTGCTTTACGCACATTTTTTTATTTATATATAACAAACATAACTAGACAAAAATGCAGAAATTTGTTTATTGTAGTTAACTTTACTTTTTCTTTCTCTAAGAGTGCCTTATTTGATGCAGAGAATAGAATATTGCTGTATTTTCAGGTACAAACCCTGATTCTAACAACATATGTTACTTCATTGCCATCCTAATAAAGATAATTCCCTGTTTTAGACTTTTATAAACAACAAGACATTACTAAAAGGTCAATGTCAAACATTTTTCTTCAGTCCCTGTGTCTGATTGATTTTGATTCAGAACATATCTTCCATCATGAAAGAAATGACTAAATACTAAACATGACATGTATAGACGTTTAGTGCATAGTCCACCTCGTGTTTACCGTTAAATATTGATAATAAAACAAATTGAAAAAATTGTATTACAAAACAGTACTTTTGCTCTGTTAGATTTTAATTCCTTCTAATAGCTGATAAAAAATCATCTTTTTGCCTTATGTTCTATATATATTTTTAAGTTATCATATGTCTTAGATTTCGAAACGGATGATAATGATTAGCATTGAAATTTAATTTAAAAAGGACATATAATGTATATAATGACAAGTGACCAGAGACTTTAGTTTTGTTTGACATTATGTGTAATTTTACACCAGATATATCTTTGATTTTTAATCTTATTTCGACAAATATACTAAAACTAACACGTTATTTGTTAAATTTTTGAATTCAATTTCCTGATGAACACTTAACAATACTTTCGCGTGCTTTAGTGCTGATGTACATTTTGTTTTGTTTTATATTTTAAAACAAAGACGATGGAATCGTTTTGAACTGGCTCAATGAAAAGAAACCTCCAAAATTTTCTATTTTGCCGTGTTACTTTTTGCCTTAAAATATGTAGTATAATTATACAAATGTTAAATATTAGCGAGTTCAGTTAATTGCTTTTTCTATTTAATTCTGTAAAATGCGTCCGGTTATTAAATAAAAGCTGTAGACAATTGCAAGTTAAGTTTTGAATAGATAAAACTGTTTATTAGCTATATAAAATGATATACATATTGGCATATTTCATAATCTGATAAATTAACCAATTGTCTTCTTATCCGGCATCTTGTATATTAATTGACAAACTTCATGTTGATAGAATCGAAATCCGTTTTAGAAGTTTTTATTCTCTTAGTTATATCATGAAGATTAGTTAAATGAATTGTAATGTCCCATGTGACAAATTAAATGAAGATTCCAGTTTTGATTAGTGAAGCATAAATAGATCACAGATAGTGTGTGACGCCTCGCAAAGTCTTCCCCACTGTCATATGGTATTCATATAATTATCAAAGTTATTCAGACGAATATTTATGAAGAAACGCATAAATTTCAAAGATGTTGTCATAGTTTTTTTTCATCCTGATATTCCTTGCAAGAAAACAACATGTTTTGTGATAATGAAATAGCATTCAATTGAAAGCTATTTTATTATCACAAAAAAATGTTGTTTTCTGACAATAAAACACTTATAAATAATAAATATGTAACAAACATATAAAAATGCACATTTCCCCATTTTTTCAAAATCAAAAAAGTAAAATAAAAACCGTTTTCAAAAAAAAACAAAAACAAGCATGTATAGTTTGCTACAAATTGTATATACAGACTTGTATACAGATTTTAGGTAATTTATCTTTATAAGCATATCTAAACGTTTTGTGTCAACTATTTTGCACGTCAGGTTTACCAAAACAAAATTAAGCTTTATTTTTGAGCCATTAAAATAGCTATATACCGAATATAATTGACTGAAACCGGTTTTTAAGTTGAACTTTGTTGTTTTGCAGTTAGCATGTCATTAACACAGTAAATTAAGTGAAGTCTGCCAGTCTCGTTTATTGTATAGCCCTCTAGAGAAAAGTCGCGACTAAACAGTGAACGTGTTTTGAAGCCCATGATATCTAAAACAGGGTTTTATTTGCTGAACATTTATCTTGCATCACCTATTTTTATACGCTGAATGTCACACACGACCTGAATTTTAGTGCATGGCCTCTAGAGTAATATGTCATTCAATATTCATGATAAAACACTAATTATTTTTTCTTCTGTAAGATTTAAATTGTTTTCTAATAGGAAACAACGATATCATTTTCTGTAATTAAACAACCGAGAAACTAAGGAAGCAGTAAAACATACGAAGTGAAATATTTATAAATGAGAATTGCAGTAGTTGAATTTAAAGTAAAGTTTTCAGGTCATGTGCGTTATTAGTACATTGAAGGTTCAAATATATTATTCGTTAGTGAATTTCCTAACTTGGGTTTATTCCTGTAAAGTTTCATGACTCTAGGTCAAATACTTTTTGAGTTACATGCAACACAAGATGAAAATTGCAAAATTTTACTAAGTCAAGGGCAATAACTCTAAAATACTAAATAAATCCAGACAAAAATACCCAGGTGCACAACTACACATGCTGATCAACATTCCTGTAAAGATTCATGACTCTAGGTCAAATACTTTTTTGAGTAACATGCGACACAAACTGAAAATTGCAAAATTTTACCAAAGTAAGGGCTATAACTCTAAAAAACTAAATATATCCAAACAAAAATACCCAGGTGCCCAACTACACATGCTGATCAACATTCCTGTAAAGTTTCATGACTCTAGGTCAAATACTTTTTGAGTTACATGCGACACAAGTTGAAAATTGCAAAAATTTACTAAGTCAAGGGCAATAACTCTAAAAATACTAAAATATGCAGACGAAAATACCCAGGTGCACAACTACACATGCTGATCAACATTCCTGTAAAGTTTCATGAATCTAGGTCAAATACTTTTTGAGTTACGATGAGATCCTTAAGTTTAGTTTTGGGCATAAATAATAGTTATAATATGTTAACGTAAAATTTGATCTTGTCACGAACCAATATAATAATTATTTCAAAGGCACATTATGCCTGAGAAAACTTTTTTTTTAATTCTTAAGAAATGTCAATCATGGGTTTTATAATGTTTTGATATTAGATTCAGAACACGTTATATGTTTAAAAACGTAAGGACGATGCGCTTAACTTGCGGTTATGTGTCGTAAAGGTAGGAAAATGTAGTAAACAAGGTAGTATCTTGACTTCCATATAAAATACTAATTAAGAATAATATACATACTGTCATAAGTGCAACAGAAGCAAAAATAATGTATCTATACATGGCAAATGATTTAGTGTTTGGAATCTGTAACAAGATATCAGACATAAAAAAATCTTTAATATTTCTGTTTTCTTTGATACAAATTTGTAAAAGAAGTGTCCGGTTTATTATTATCGTAATAGTTGTACTAATAAATTCGAATATCCGATCACTTCTGAAATTCATTGAAATGTGCTATTCCGGTAATTTTACATTGGAAAGAAAATAAATGAAATAATAATTCACTACTTCAGTACTATACGCTCTTAGATTTCACATGACGTCTACTTTCACAATATCTTCATAAATATTACATGCAAGCGAGATACATAATATTATTAAACATTATGGGCATTAAATGGATACTAACTTTTCTTAGATTCCCTTTTGTCCATCTTGAAAATGTTATAATCTAATCTTATTTCTTGCTCATAATTGCAATCGTGTTTGCAGTTTTGAATGTATATATCAAAAGCAGTTAATGTCAAAATTGCTTTAATGACATGGTAATAACGAAAGGGAAATTGCATTCTGTCGTATAAAAAGAACTTAATTGGAGAAAGCGTTCTGACGGTATATATTTTGTTTCTATGATCTTGAACATACTATAATTGTGCACCATATTGCAAACATGTTTACAGTTTTGAATGTGTAATAAAAAGCAATTGATGTAAATATGTCTATAAATGTCATATTGATAATGATTAGAAAATTGCAAGTTTTGGTAAATGGAACTAAAAAATAGTTCTCCGATTGAACAGTTTTTGTACGATACTGGGAACTGTTCTTATGCAATAGATTAATTGTATTTAGCCATTTTGTCAGTTTGAAAATAAGAAATATGTTTTGAGATATCATTCATTCAATGTTTTATTTTTATGTCATGATGTGTAAAATGATGGGCTATCAAATTCATTTAATGTTACAATTGAGTATGTGTAAAACTTGAAATGATTTCAGTGGTTTCAAAATTTTACTTTCCTCTTGTCTAATCGCTTATGGAATTTACAATCCCTACACTGTAT